TGGTCCCCACCCAGCCGGCCAGGCGCCTCCAGCCTCGGAAATCCAGCTTTCCGGGGGACAGGGACGAGGCTCCTGGCCCGGGGGGACGAGGGGGCAGAGGCTGGCGGCGGCAGCGGGGGTTTCGGCGGCGGGGGGCGCTCGGCTCAGCGGCGCGCAGGGGCCGGGGCGCGGCGTCCCATCGGGGCGGCCCCGTCCGAGGAACCGGGCGGCGAGCTGCAGGGTTGGGGGAGGAAGTCAGGCTGCAGGCCGCCGGGGCCAGAGGGCTGGGCCGGGGGCAGGAAGCTGCGGCGCGGGCTCCCCCCTCGGCGATTTTCGAACTTCTGCTGTCGCTCCCCGTGCGCGCAAACCGCAGTTCGCCGCCGCCGCCGCCGCCGCGCACCCAGCCCCAGGGGGGCGGGCTGGAGGGAGGGGACGGGCGCCGGGCGCCGGCCGGGGGACCGCCGCAGCCATGGCGGGCAGGGAGGGGGCTGCTGAGCCGCTTCACCTGCCGCAGAGCGGGCGGCCAGCGCCGCTTCACCTGCCGGAGCGGGAGGCCACCGAGGCGAGGCCGAGGCGGCGGCGCGCTCGGCGGCGCCTCCGGGTCCTAGAACCGCATTCTCCCGGTCGCCCGGGGCGAGGGATTGGCCGGGTCTGGGTGAAGGGGGTCACGGCCTGGGGGTCGGAGGGGCACCTCTCCTCCGTGCCTAGGATCTCAGCCACTGCGAGCGCGGCTCGGAGACCCACGGTGGCGCAGCGTTGGCGCTCCAGGGATGCGTCCCCCTCTCGGGTCCCCGACTGAGAAGGTGGGAACCCCCTTCCAGGCCCCCCACCTTTTATTTCTCTCCTCCCCTGCTTAGCCCAGAGACGAGCTGAGGACCGGGGGGAGCCCTCTGCAAACAGGAATTCCTACACAGGGAGTGGGGCGCCAACGCAGGCCAGCAGAGACCCCTGCCACCTGTCCCACCTCGACCAAACCGTGCGCCTGTGCGGAGCATCCCTAGTGGCTTTAGAATGGGGGCACCCATGGAAGAGGGGGGCTGCGAGAAGCTGGGCCCGCCAAGGTGGTCCCAAGGAGGAGTGGGGGGGTGCGGAAAGGAGGATGAGAGCCAGCTGCAAAGCTGAAAAGATCCGGCACCGCAGAGGAGGGAAAAGGAATCTTGACGCTGTCACCGCTGGGGACCTAGGGTGGCCTCTCACCTTGGAGAATAACAATCTCTGATGTCTGCTAATGACAGAAATACTTACAGAGCTCTTTCATTCATCCTGACAATGACCAGAGAAGGTAAGTATTGATAGCCTTATTTTAGAGATGGGGAAACTGAGGCTGAGAGTAGGTAAGTGACCTGTCCAAGGGCACTCAGCTAATAAACGGCAGAAGCAGGCCTCCTCACTGTCTACCTCCGAAAACGACACTGGCTTGGAGTTGCTGTCCTGGTCTTCCACTGCCCATCTCATGTAGGGTAGGAGAGTATGGGGGATAACCTAAGGGCTGGGACCCCACCTATAGCCTGAATTTGAGACTCTCAGTTGCTCCTCTCATTCCCCATTTAATGTGTGGGGATCCTCAGCTGGTCCCTCCCTACACTTCCAAGGTGCTGAGGAGGGAGGGCCCGCTGAAGGAGCCCAGGTTACTTCTAGGCCAGGTCAGGAGCCTAAGTGTCACCTCCCCTGACAGCGTCCCCCTCCTTCTGCCCTCACATTCAGAGACACTGACAAGACTTGAAGCAAGAGACGGAAAGTTAACATCTCATCTGGAGGAAGACCCTGGAAGGAGCCAGCCCCTTCCCCCAGGCTGAACTGGTTTAAGCCTTTCTTCCGTCAAGGTCACCAGCACCCCAGAGGAGTGAGAGATGTAATCACTGGTTTCGTGGCCTGATCAGGGACCTCCAAGGTGAGTCAAAGCAGGATTCTCCTCGGGCATGCAGGGAAAACCATCCACTCCCTGCCCACTGCCATCTCCTCCCTCTCAGACAGACCAGAGCCTAGCCCTTGGGTCCTTGCCCTTGAGATTAGCTAGGACCTCCTCCTCCTCTTCCTCTACCTCCTCCTTCTTGTTCTCCTCCTTCTTCTTCTGTCTCTATAAGATAACTGTTGTGGAAGACTTTTTCTTTTTCTTTTTTTTAAGATGGAGTCTCTCTGTGTCACCCAGGCTGGAGTGCAGTGGTGCAATCTCAGCTCACTGCAACCTCCACCTTCCAGGTTCAAGTGATTCTCCTGCCTCCGCCTTATGAGTAGTGGGACCGCAGGCACCCGCCACCATGCCCAGCTAATTTTTGTATTTTTAGTAGGGACTGGGTTTTGCTATGTTAGTCAAGCAGGTCTCAAACTTCTGGGCCCAAGTGATCCACCTACCTCAGCCTCCCAAAGTGCTGGGATTACAGGCCTGAGCCACTGCGCCCAGCCTGGAAGACTTTTTATAATGAAAAAAAAATTTTTTTAAGAATGTATTTCCTGATTCCTCAATAACTGTCTCTTTCAGTTGAACAATAAACCTTACTTAGCACCAGCTGTGTTCCCAACACTGGGCTCAGTCCTGAGGATTCTGTAGCAGATGAGAAATGACCCTGTCCTTGGTCTGCTCACAGCCTAGCGAGGGACAGACTTTCAACCTACCTGGGAGCGTGGCTGCTTCAAATCAGCCTATGGGACCAGCTGTTCGTGCTTCCTGTTGCCCAGAACTACTTCTGTAAGGGGGAAAGAGAAGGGTAGCAGTGTGTCCTGCAGCTGGAAACCCAAGCCAGGCAGGGAGCCACCAAGGTAGTAGCTGCCAGCCTGTATCCATAATCCTTGGGACTCCTCACATTGCCAGCCACTCTTCACCCAAGGCCTGGTGGAAATAAAGCTGGACTAAGTAACACCTCTCCTGTGGAAAATTGTTTCTGCACGCCGACATTCAATCTCTTTCTCTCTCTCTCTCTCTCCTCTCTCTCTCTCATGCTGATCAGAACTGTGAGTTACAAAAAAAATAAATAAATGAGAAGATGTAATCAATTATTACATAGTAAACTTCATTGGCTTGGCAGGAGATATCTTTCCCATCTTGGCCCACAGAGGAGGAAATCCTAGAAGGGATGACTGAAGTGTGGGACCAACACATTGGTGGGTCTGTGCTACCCCCTACTGGTCGCGGGTGGTATGACAGCCAAGACAGGTCAAGGCTTCCAGCAGCGATGGAGTCACCGCAGCGGTGACATTTCTGGACTGTTGTCACCTTCAGTGGAGGGATTGTGCAGTCACTGGGGATATCCAAAACCCAGATGATTGAGAAGAATTCCCCAGGGATCTCTTGCCTCCCTTTTGCCATTACTCAGTAGGAGCCTCCTTAAAAAAGGAAAAAGGGGTAGGGTGTGATGGCTCATGCCTGTAATCCCAGCACTTTGGGAGGCTGAGGTGGGCGGATCACCTGAGGTCAGGAGTTCGAGACCAGCCTGGCCAATATAGCGAAACCCCCATCTCTACTAAATACAAAATATTAGCCGGGCCTGTTGGTGCGCGCCTAAAATCCCAGCTACTCGGGAGGCTGAGGCAGGAGAATCACTTAAACCCAGAAGCCAGAGGTTGCAGTGAGCTGAGATTGCACCATTGCACTCCAACCTGTGCAACAAAGCAAGATTCTGTCTAAATAAAAGAAAAAGGAAAAGGGGCTGAGTGCAGTGGCTCATACCTGTAATCCCAGCTCTTTGGAAGGGTGAGGAGGAAGGATCACTAGAACCCAGGAGTTCAAGACCAGCCTGGGCAACAGGGCAAGACCCCATCTCTACAAAAAATACAAAAAACAGCTGGGCATGATAGTGCACACCTGCAGTGCCAGCTGCTGGAGAAGCTGAGGTGGGAAGATTGTTTGAGCCTGGAATGTCAGAGCTACAGACAGCAAAGAATTACATCACTGCATCCAGCCTGGGCAACAGAGCAAGATCCTGCCTCAAAAAAAAAAAAAAAAAAGGTTATTACACAGTTCAAAAATGAAGCAAAGCCCAAAAGCATGTGCAAAGAAAGTAAAGTCTCTCCTGGCCGGGCTCCACACCTGTAACCTCAGCACTGTGGGAGGCTGAGGTGGGTGGATCATTTGAGGTCAGGAGTTCAAGACCAGCCTGGCCAACATGGTGAAACCAAGTATCTACTAAAAATACAAAAAATTAGCCGGGCATAGTGGCGGGCACCTGTAATCCCAGCTACTCGAGAGGCTGAGGCAGGAGAATCGCTTGAACCCAGGAGGCGGAGCTTGCTGTAAGCTGAGATCACGCCACTGCACTCCAACCTGGGCAACAGAGCAAGACTGTCAAGAAAGAAAGAGAGAGAGAGAGAGAGAGAGAGAGAGAGAGAGATCTCCTGAGGCAACTACTCTTAATAGTTTGTTTTTACAATCCTAATTTTTTTTTTTTTTAGACGGAGTCTCACTCTGTCATCCAGGCTGGAATGCAGTGGCACGACCTCGGCTCACTGTAACCTCCACCTCCCAGGTTCAAGCAATTCTCCTGCCTCAGCCTCCCAAGTAGCTGGGACTACAGGTACCCATCACCACGCCCAGCTAATTTTTGTATTTTTAGTAGACATAGGGTTTCGCCATGTTGGCCAGGCTGGTCTTGAACTCCTGACCTCAAGTGATCCACCCGTCTCAGCCTCCCAAAGTGCTGGGATTACAGGCGTGAGTCACCACGCCCAGCCTCTGAACAATTTTAATGTGTCTTTGCAGAGCTATTTGGAGCATATGCTGGGTGTGTGTGTGTGTGTGTGTGTGTGTGTGTGTGTGTGTTTGACACAAATGATAGCTACACTCTACACTGTTCAGCACCTGCTATTTTCATGTAATAATGTACCTGCCTATAGATAGTCGACATAGTCTTCCATCATACGGTGTGGCACAATTTACTCACCATTCCCCTCCTAGTAGATATTTAGGTGTGTCTGCCTTTTATTACTACAAACAATGCCAATTGCAGGAAATACCTTGGTACATATATTTGTAGACATATGTGTGTGTGTAAAATATTTTTTTTTAGATGGAGTCTCACTTTGTTGCCCAGGCTGGAGTGCAAAGGTACGATCTCGGCTCACTGCAATCTCCGCCTCCCGGGCTCAAGTGATTACAGGCATGAGACACCGCATCCAGCCAAATAAATTTGTAAGTATGACAATTCTGGGTCAAAGATTATGTGCTCTTAAATTTTTTATAGATTTTTCACACAATTGCCCTCCAAAAATTGTGTACCAATTTACAACCCCCAACAACGGATGAGGTCACTTGTTTCCCCAAACCCTCACAAGCATGTTATTATCAGGCCTTTTGATCTTAGGTAATGACTCTTTAAAAGTCCTGGGTGCAGAGCAGGTGATGATCTTTTTCTTTGTGCAGCGGGTTTCTCCAAGGCAGGGGCTGTGTCTTTCTCATCCCTACATCCCCAGTGCAGGATGTGGCACCATCCTTGGTAGTTACTCAAGAGCTGTTTGCTGAATATTGAGTGAAAGAAACAGAGCTGTATTTTGGCAGGCCCAGAGGGAGGGGGTCAAAGGTTAGATCTGAGCAGGAGGCCTGCTCTTTAGGGCCACTGTCTCTTCCAGACCCTGGTCAAGCCTCTGCCCCAAGCCCAAAAGCCCTCTTCTTGCAGGAGTCTCCCAGGTTGCAAGGTCTGACGTTGAAGGCCCAAAACTCCCTGGCCAGCTTTCACCCAGCTCTGCTGCATTCCAGGCATGGACCCCATCATCCCCAAGCTGCCTGAGAACTGGAAACAAACTAGGTGTTCAGCTTTAGGGGATCAGTTAAAACACTGTCCAGTAAAACACTATCTGCAATGATGAAAATGTTTTCACTCTGCACTGTCCAATATGGCAGCCACTGGCCACTCATAGCTACTAAGTACTCAAGCTGTAGCTAGTTCAACCAGGGAAATGAATAAATTTTACTTAATTTGGCTGGGTGTGGTGGCTCATGCCTGTAATTCCAGCACTTTGGGAGGCCAAAGCGGGTGGATCACAAGGTCAGGAGTTCAAGAGCAGCCTGGCCAAGATTGTGAAACCCCATCTCTACTAAAAATACAAAAATTAGTCAGGCATGGTGGCGAGCACCTGTAATCCCAGCTACTCGGGAGGCTGAGGCAGAGAATTGCTTGAACCCAGGAGGCAGAGGTTGCAGTGAGCCGAGATTGTGCCATTGCACTCCAGCCTGGGCGACAGAGTAAAACTCTGTCTCAAAAAAAGAAAAAAAAAAGAAAGAAAAGAAAAGAAAAAAGAAAAAAATTAGCTATATATGGTGACATGCTCCTGTAGTCCCAGCTGCTTGGGAAGCTGAGGTAGGAAGGTTGCTTGAGCCGGAGAAGTGAAGGCTGCACAAAGCGGAGATCACATCACTGCACTCCTGTCTGTGTGACACAGAGAAACTCTGTCTCAAAAATAAATAAATAATAAGGGGGCTGGGCACATGGCTCACACCTGTAATCCCAGCACTTTGGGAGACCAAGGCAGGCAGATCACTCAAGGCCATGAGTTCGAGACCAGCCTGTCCAACAAAGTAAAACTCCGTCTCTACTAAAAATACAAAAATTAGCTGGCTGTGGTGGCGTGCATCTGTAGTCCCAGCTACTAGGGAGGCTGAGGCAGAAGAATCACTTGAACCCAGAAGGCGGAGGTTTCAGTGAGCCAAAATTGCACCACTGCACTCCAGCCTGGGCAACAGAGTGAGACTTCCTCTCAAAAAAAAAGAAGGTAAATGAAAATAAAAGCTAATTGCTTGGTAGGTAACCATGGAGGGCTGCTCTTTCCTTCTTCTTGGCAACTTGTGATAGTCACTACACTATTTTTTCTATGTAACTCACTAGAGGACAGCCCCAGTGAACAGACCAGCAAACACCACAAGAGCCACGCCCCAATGACACAGGGTCCCAAACTTGGCCATGCATCACAATCAGAATTTGTGGGGAGCACAGTCAGGGATCTGTGTCTTTTACAGTTCTCCAGGTAGCTCAGGCAGCTACTGACCTGTCCTTGTCAATGCTCCCCAGTGAAGAGAGGACAGGCTCCATGTCCCAGGTACATATCCCTTCCCTTTAGACAGCAGTCATCACTGACGTCTTCTGTGTACCAATGCTGTGCCAGACGCTGAGGCTCTCTACATGTTACCTGAAGGCAAACAGCATCCCAGCCAGCAGGCAGGCCTCCACTGAGCTCAGCGTCCTCTGGAGTGACTGACTTATTCCAGGTCATATTGCTGGTAAATGTCGGAACTAGGATCTGAATCGTCATGAACTCCCTGAGCCTCCATTTTCTTCTCTGAAGAAAAAAAAAAAAAAATAGTGACAGGATTTTATTGAATTGTTTTGAATATTAAGTAAAATTTCATGTAAAGCACTTAGCAGAGACTTATTTCCAGCAATAAGGTGGGCTATATAGGTTCAGAAAAACTCCTGTGGTATAAAACAGCTAGAAATGCTAGATAAAAGATAAAATGTGTATGGGTTTAGCCGGGCGCGGTGGCTCAAGCCTGTAATCCCAACACTGGGAGGCCAAAGCCAGTGGATCACTTGAGGTCAGGAGTTCAAGACCAGCCTGGCCAAGATGGTGAAACCCCATCTCTACTAAAAATATAAAAATTAGCCAGACAGGCATGGTGGCGGGTGCCTATAATCCCAGATACTGGGGAGGCTGAGGTAGGGAATCGCTTGAACCCAGGAGGTGGAGATTGCAGTGAGCCAAGATCACGCCACTCTCAAAAAAAAAAAAAAAAAAGAAGGAAGGAAGGAAGGGTCAAGGGAGCCCAAAAGGTGATATCCTTGGGTAGTAATGGGAAAATCATCCACCCTTCAGAAAGCGATGGTAGGGATACTTGCCTACCTCAATCTATCAATAAGATATAGCTATTCTACAGTTGTATGTACCTAATAACATAGCTTTAAAAATCATAAAACAGCAATAGTAGGAAAAATAGACAAATCTACCAATGGAAGATTTAAATCACCTCCCTCCGGAATTGGTACATCAAGCGGACCAAAAATTCAGTAAAGATTTAAAAGATTTGAGCAATGCAATCAGCAAGCATAATCTAATAGAATATTTTAAATACTCCAGCTCAAACAGTTTGTGAACACGCTTTTATTTTCAGACACACATGAACCATTTACAAAAATGACCACATATCAGGTTATAAAGCAGTCTCCATCAGCTCAAAAAATTATATAGACCACATTCTCTAACAGCAATATAATTAAATTAGAAATCAACAATATTGGCCGGGCGTGGTGGCTCACCCCTGTAATCCAAGCACTTTGGAGGCCAAGGCGGGCAGATCACCTGAGGTCGGGACCTCAAGACCAGCCTGACCAACATGGTGAAACCCTGTCTTTTAAAAAAAAAAAAAAAAAAAAGAGAGAGAAATCAACAATATTTAAAAATAACCCCTGCTGGGTGCAGTGGCTCATACCTGCAATCCCAGCACTTCGGGAGACTGAGGTGGGCAGATCACTTGTGGTCAGGAGTTCGAGACCAGCCTGGCCAACATAGCGAAACTCCGTCTCTACCAAAACTACCAAAATTGGCTGGGTGTGGTGACAGGCACCTGTAATCCTAGCTACTCAGGAGGCTGAGGCAGGAGAATCACTTGAAACTGGGAGGCAGGGTTTGCAGTGAGCTGAGACTGTGCCACTGCACTCTAACCTGGGTGACACGGTGAGACTCCATCTCAAAAAACAAACAAACAGAGGCCGGGCGCGGTGGCTCAAGCCTGTAATCCCAGCACTTTGGGAGGCTGAGGCGGGTGGATCACGAGGTCAAGAGATCGAGACCATCCTGGTCAACATGGTGAAACCCCGTCTCT